TCCCGGGTTCGATTCCAGTCAAGGGCATGTAGTTGGGTTGCAGGCACATCCCCAGTAGGAGATGTGCAGGAGGCAGCTAATCGATGTTTCTCTCTCATCAATGTTTCTGACTATCTCTCTCCCTTTCTCTCTGTAAAAAATCAATAAAATATATTTTAAAATATATATATATATGAAAAAAGATTTCCAACCCCAGAGGGAGACCATCAACAACCAACAAGTCCAGCTTCACTCAGCACATATTTCATGCACCCTCCTGTGCTGGTTACAGTGCAAACTCTGTTCTTATGGCACTCATGAGTGCAGAGGAAAGATTATTACGCATCTTGAAGGGGTAACACTTGGAGCGTCTCTAATGAGTGCCAAGCCTTGTGATATAGGCTAAAGTGAACTGGGAATTGTCCAGAGAAGAGGAGATGAAGTCTGCAATGGCAGGAATGGAGACATGATCCATTTGGTTTAAGACAGGGCTTCTCAACCTCGTCGGCACCACTGACATTTTGGGCCACATAATGCTCTGTAAGGGGGTCTGTCCCATGCACTGTAGGATGTTCAATGGCATTTCTGGCCTCCACCCACTCGATATCAGTGGCATCCCCCTTCCCAGTCTCGGCTCCAGATATTGTCAAAATTGCTTAGTTGAGAACCTCTGGTTTAAGGGTTGTCCAGAAAGACTCCGCTGGAGAAGTTAGGTCTGAGTTGGCCCGAAGGACATAAAATTTAGAGCCGTGGTACATTCCACTAAGCAGGACAATGTGACACAGAGATTAGGTGGGTGAGATGCCAGATGCATTATGGAACCATGGAAAAGTTGGGTCTTTAGAGCCAGATCACTGAGAGAACCCGATCACTGCTAGTCAGCCATGAAGGTTTCAACGGGATTCAGCTGTGAGTCATATCAGCATCCAATCACATGACGTAAGTCGTGGGAGGACTCAGCTGGCCAGAGAGCTCACAGGACGAGAAATCGCAGAGAAGTGGCCAGCCAGGAGGCCAATGAAGGAGTCGAGATATAGAAGAGCAGGTCCAACATGGTCCGAGGAGGAGGAGGAGGAGGAATTGTCTGAGAGGGACGTCACAAAGAAAAAAAACATCTAAAGTGGGGGGAACAGGGAGAAACTTCAAAGAAAGCATATACATGAGGAGAGTGTTCATGAGCTTACAAAACACTCCCACCAGTCTTTTCCTCAAGCCTCATGAGACGAAGGTCATCCCCAACTTCCAGATGAGGACACTGAGACTCAGAGAGATGAGGGTCACACCCTGGCGCAAGGCCACAGCCTTCCTCAGCTGCAGTGAGGTTCGAACCCAGCACTCTGGTTCTACTGCCCCAACGTGCCACTCATCAGTTAACATTGACCAGTACAAATTTATTGAGCACCTACTATGTTCTAGGCACTGGTCTAGGCATAAGGGATGCATCAGTGGAAGGGGGAAAAGAGCCAAATCTCTACAATTAAGGAGTTTGCAACCTATTAGGAGAAAGGCAGACAGTAAACAAAGGACCAAGTGTATATGAGATGCTACAATTTGTGTGGACAATAAGTGTTTGCACATGAGCACATATGTGTTTGTCGATGGGAAGACATGCAAGGAAGTGTCTGCTTCCAAGGAGCGCTGGAGGGCTGAGGGAAGGGGTGAAAGGGAGACTTATCGTAGTAGGCCCTTTTGTGCCTTCTGTCTGAGGCGCCTATCTTACCCATTTTTTTAAAATATATTTTATTAATTTTTTACAGAGAGGAAGGGAGAGGGATAGAGAGTTAGAAACATCGATCAGCTGCCCCCTGCACATCTCCCACTGGGGATGTGCCCGCAACCAAGGTACATGCCCTTGACCAGAATCGAACCTGGGACCCTTGAGTCCGTAAGCCGACGCTCTATCCACTGAGCCAAACCGGTCAGGGCATTTTTTTTAAATTAACTGTAAAAAGTTAATGGGGCATGTGTTAAAGCGTAGTCCAGGCAGAAGAGTTTGATGCAAGAGCATGAACCGTGTGTTGAGGAGACTGCAAGTAGCAGGAGGTGGGAAGAGGTCAGGAAGGTCAGAGGCCATGCAAGAGAGTCTGGGTTTTGACCTAAAGGCCCAGCAGCCCGTGAAGCACTGTACAGAGAGTGCTGTGACCTAAATGAACTGCAGAAAACTCACTTGGGCAAGTGAAGGGAGAAGCAGATGAAAGGGGGAGACGAGAGGTGAGGAGGTCAACGAGGAGGCTCAGGCACCATTCAGACCACGGTGATGAGGCCCAGGCTAAAATGGCACCGCTGAGATAGTGAGAGGGAGGAGTCCCAAAACATCTGGAAGGCAAGAAGGCGACTGATTTGGAGGAGAGGGGGGACTACGAGACAAGTGCCCAGAGGCATGGTGGTGGCTTCCACCGAGGGTGAGGAGAGCAGGAAGGTGAGCCATTTGGTGCCTGTGGGTCACTTGCAGGGAGATGTACCCTCGGCTGTTGGATTTGACAGTCTGGGATCCAGGAGACAAATCTACTCAAGAGATGTTGATTGGGAACCACCCGAGAGAAACGGTAGCTCGAAGCCATGAATACGGATGAGATGGTCCAGGGGAGGCAGGCAAAGTGGTTAAAAAGTAGAGCAGAACAAAGGCCTGAGAAACCAGTTAAGGAGGACCAGGGGCGGAGAAGGAAAGGAGGAGAGGTGTCACCATGTACCCGAGGAAAGAGAGTTTCACGGAGTTGGAGAGATCAACAGTGTCTATTACCACCAACAGAGCACAGACAAGAAAATGCTAAAAAGTGCCCATTTGGTCAGTTGTCCAGGAGGTCACTCTGAGGTTTTACACGGGCATGAGTGTGTGTGGACACGGGAGCCGGGGATGAAGGGTAGATAGCAGGATCGGATGGAAGCAGACCCCATGCCTCTCTTGGGACAGAAAACACCAGGGATGAGCTCTTATACCTCGTCCAAGGATGACACTTGTCATAAGCAGATGACACATTGGAGAAGAAGCCGACCAGGCAGGGTTCGCAGATGGTGTCAGAAACCCCTGTCGCTGGGAGGGAAAAGGGGGCATTCATCACACCATGGACTACCTGTCTGGCTCCCAGTCTTCCTGCTCTAAGCCCTCCTCCCCGGCGGAGAGTTCCGCCCTGCTGCAGCCCCTGGGAAGGCTTCTCCCACTGCCCTCCCAAGGCAGATGCCATGGCAGGAGCCGGAATGAGAAGGGTTCATTTCCTGCTCACTCTAGGAGGCATCCTGATATAGGCTGTAGTCTCCATTCCCTCCACTGCCCAGCCCCTTGCCTTTGGCCCAACTCCTCCCTCCTGCCTCTAGAGCCGATTCTCAGACAGGCCACTTACCGATCTCCTTGACCCCAAAGCCAGGGGGGCAAGAGCTGTGTGGGGCGCAGTTTTCACAGACCTCGTCGACACAGTGTCGGCCTTCGTCACACGTGCAAGTCGTGTCTGTTTTCAAAGTGCCTTTACTCTGGACCCGGAGTTTGAGGTCTGCGCAGAGATGAGCGGGAAGGATGGGAACACTTGCTGGGGACTCCCTGAGCCCCACTCCTCACACTTCCTGCTTTTTTTTTCTTAGACCCTCTTCCAAGTAGGGACAGCAGTCAAATTATTTAACAACCAGTATAGCCTAGACTCCAATCAATCCAAACAGACCCTGGCTTTTTATTTTTAATAAAAGGGAGGGGAGGGGGCGAGGGTTAATGGCTGCATTGTCAAGAGTGAGCTGGAAGCCCTTGCTGGTTTGGCTCAGTGCATAGAGCGTTGGCCTGCAGGCTGAAGGGTCCCGGGTTCAATTCTGGTAAAGGACACATGCCCAGGTTGCAGGCTCGATCCCCAGTAGGGTGAGTGCTGGAGGCAGCCAATCAATGATTCTCTCTCATCATTGATGTTTCTATCTCTCCCTTGCCCTTCCTCGCTGAAATCAATAAAAATATATTAATTTTAAAAAAAGAATGAGCTGGAATATCAGCCCCACTCCCAAGCACCGGTCCCCCGCAGCCCACACACTGGGGTCGCAGTATCTGTGCGGATGGCAGCGCCTCTCATTGCTCCAGGTCCCCAGGAATTCGCCTTCACTGCAAGGGACGCATTCCGTGTCGGTCACCGCCGTGCAGTCACTCACCAGTTTCTGTCCTGGAAAAAGCATCAGGAAATGAGGCAGCTCTGACCAACTCTGGGAGTCAGACATTTACCAAAAACTGAGCAGGCTGGGCTTTCGGGCAGAGGATTCAAAGGTGACAGTCTCAGAGCCTTCCAGCCTCCAGAGTCAGGTCAGGGGTAGGAAGGTGGGGAGCCAAGGAAGATATAGGAACCTCAGTCCTAGTAGTCACAGAGGGAACCCACAACATTCTGACAGCGGGGCAGGGCTGGGCAATCCCAGGGGCCATTTAAGACTCAGGGTTACAGATGACATATGGAGCCTGCATCTGCCAGCAAACCACGAGGGTTCCCACCGTGAGGCTGGAGGGAGGCGTCTCACCTGGCGGGCACAGATTACAGCACTGGCTTTCTGTGGGGTACTGTTTCTCACTGCATGCAGGTGGTTCTGGGTGGACCTAAAGACAGAATTGGGCGATTTGAGGGGATCTGGGAATCTCTGCTGTAGCCTCGTTGGCAGGAAGGTGAAAATCAGCCGGGAGAGGGGTTAGAGCTGAAGCGGAATTCCAAAGCAGAACAGTGGGGCCTGCCTACTAGCTGGCTTGGTTATTTTTAACTAAACTGCCAACTGATAGGATTGTAAAAGCACCCAGAGAATCGTGCTGGTCTTTTACAAAGCGATTGTGCTGGAACCTCACAATAGTCTCTGAGTTAAACAGATCTTCCTTTTGTCTGGACTCCTGACAGTTTCCTCTTCACAAAGATTCAAAAGCACGTGAGGACCCCAGGACCTCCCCTGGAGTCCAGAGACTGGCTGCTTCAGCTCGTCCTAGTCCTAGGTTGGGGCTATATTTAGCACCTGGCCTCTTCCTCCTATTATTCTTCTGCTCCCCACCCCTTTCCCTGTCCAAGCCTCATCGTGTTTTTCCCCTCTAAGCCCTCCCTCATAAAATGCCAGAACATTGTGAAGCTGGGAGGATAAAATCCAACACTTTCACTTTACAAATGGTCAGACTAGCCCAGCTCAGTGATTGAGCATTGACCTATGAACCAGGGGGTCACGGGTTCAATTCCTGTTCAGGGAACATGCCCAGGTTTCAGGCTTGATCCTTGATAGGGGGCATGCAGGAGGCAGCCGATGGATGATTCTCATTATTGATGTTTCTGTCTCTCTCTCTCTCTGAAATCACAGGGTTTCACAGTGATAGGATCTGAAAGAGAAGACAGGTCTCAGTACTCTCCCTCTCTCCATCAGCTTGGCTCTCACCCTCACTTTTACTACTTCCAGGTACGACGCATGCTATTAATTACTTCTCACTAAATTAAATACATTTCTTTTCCATGTAAACCTTATGTCATTGCCATGAGAACGTCTCATAAATAAAAGGTAAGCCTAAAAATAAAATTCAACAGCAACAAAACAACGTTATGAAACGCCAGCTGGTTGCTTTGCTTGCTGATGGCCTCTACCCCAGGCCTGCTCTTGACTTTTGTTTTAAAAGGAGGATTAGCAAGCACTTGAGAAGTATTAACTAACTATAGTCTAACTCCAGAGACTTCCTCCTTCAAAAAAAAATCAAAGGATTTAAAACAGAACTGCAAAGTGCATCACTGTTGTTTAGTTCTGTGTGCGTGTGCTCCCTACAATCATCCCACGCTTTGGGAACAGCCGGTGAAAAAGGCACAGGTTCGAGAGACAAGCAGCTTAAGGCTGTCTGTCTTTGCAGCACTTGACTTTGCAACACTTACTAGCTGTTTGCTTCTCTTCCTCTCAGTCTCCACATCTCTAAAATGGGAGTAATAACACCTACCCCACAGGTTAGGTTGTAAAGATGAGAACGAACATTTGTGTGTGGCCTGGCACCGTGTCTAGAACATAGTAGGTGCTCATTAAGTAGCAGTTTTGATTATCATACATATGTGAGTATCTGCTTGAATGTCCAGTGTCCTGGCTAAGTGGCTGGCTGTTCAGGATCCTGCCTAATGGGTGGCTCTCAGTCAGCCATTGCTTACGGGAAATGTGTCTTACCCCAAATGGGGAAGGAAACAGAAAAGGCGGCTGCCGCCATCATCACATCACAACACTGACCTGTGGGCAGGGAGAGCCCGTGAAGGTTCTCCCTGCCACACCGCGGACCTTCCCCCCGCATCCCACAGCCATGGAAGTCCTTTATGCCATTTTCAAACACATGAGCAATAGGGTTCCTCCTCTGAAAGCTGGCCCATCCCGTTCCCACTCCACAGCTCCAGTCCCTCTGATACCAAGGCTAGGAGGCTCTCACCACCTGAGAGACGGGCTCAGGGCCCAGGCAGGTGCAGGTTTATATCCAGGTTTATATCCTGGCTCTGAGAATTTGGGCAAGACATTCCTTCTCTCTGAGCCTGTTTCCTCGTCTGTATACTGGGGAGTTCAAAGAAACCAGACAGCGAACACATGGAAAGCGTTTTCCTCAGGGCCTGACACGCAGGAAGCTCGCGATAAGTAGCAGCTGCCATTGGAGTTGTCACAGCCCAGGTCTACCTGGAGCCAAAATTGGGAGTATGCTCCTGAGAAGCCCAAACCAGCTTCACGCCCTCCCCTGGCTCTGCCCCCTCTCCCTCCTACACCACCTTTCTTCCTTCCAGCTCCGCCCCGGGGAGGTGCTCCTCTCTCCCTGAAGTCCATTTTCCCTAAGAGCAGGAATAAGACAGGG